TCGCATTATGAGCATTGCCTCCATGCTGCCACAAGAATGAAAGATAGACTGGCACCTAGTCCAATGCTTTAATGAGGCACAAGAAGTGCTTACACGTAGAAGATGTTCAAGAAACAACTTGGGGAGATTCAGGCACCTTACAGAAATACACTAGAAAGGATTTAGGGAAGGATTGATGAAATGGGGAGGAGAGGGCCAAAGGTAATAGTTCTGGGGAGTAGGAATGATGGTGACCATGAACATAAAGAGGAAAATGAGAAGGAACTGGTTTGGGGGGGGGGGGGCGCCGGCCGGCCAGTTTCCAACATTTTCCGTTTGAGCAGTAATGAGACCTCTAACAGCTGATGCATCGGAATGCTAGAGACAGATTTGGGAGTGAGGACTGATGTTGAGTCAACGAGAGACAACGAGAGTGTCCAAGAAGAAAATATGGTGTGAAAATAAAAGGGACAGCACTTGGACCTGAGTTTAAAGATAACAGAACAGAGAATAAAAGAAAGGTTCTGTCTCCTGCCCCAATCTTACAGATATGCCAAAGACTTTCAGATATCCAGAATGAAATCCCCTGTGGACTTAAGTTCACCTATTTATCTGGGCCTCGAATGCTTTTGAGTTAAAGAGTAATAAACAATATAAACAAAAGAGAACCTTTGCTGTTGGATAATAAGTCCAATAATATGAAATGAGTAGTAGAATAGTCATTTTATTTATTTCATGTTTATGGAGCCAGAAGCAGATAGACTGTCTAGTAAGTTGATTTTTTTTATTGACATTTTCTGTGCAACTAGTCTTCTAATTCTGCTGAATTTCCTGAGGGACTTGGGCAAATCTGTTGGATTGAAACGTGAATAGCTTTAATACAGCATATTTCATTATAGATATCCAATTTAGGGCTTACTAAATCTAGTGACCAGAGTATGAGGAATTTAGAAATATGCTTTTTTTTGAGGCCCTATTTGGAAGGGAGCTCCTCTCTGATATGTAAGGTAACAGAGCCACCTGCTGGTGAACTTATTTCACCATGAGGCAACAATAGGCACACTTCTGTGGGTATCTATCCACTCAGACGGCCTCATACATTCTTGTAGGTAAATATCCTCCTAACTCATTCCTTTTGTATGTATGTAATGTATTGTCTGGATGTTAGATTTTTCTCCTTTTCTGATTAGGAAGGGATCGTAAGGTGGGAACCAGTCATCAGCCAGTGTTGATCACCAGCATTCAAACTGGACTCTTAGGTCAGAACACTGAACACAGAATGTGGGTGTGAGACTTGCCTGGGAGACTTTTTGGTATCAGTCTGGGCTCGGTGGAGCTGTGGATTCTAGATGTGTGCTTGGATGTACATCCTAAGATCCTTCTTTTGGGATGTTACATAAAAAAGCCAAAGATGGGGGTGCCTGGGTGGCTCAGTCGGGTAAGCGTCTGACTTCATTCAGCTCAGGTCATCATCTCATGATTCATGAGTTCGAACCCCACATTGGACTCTGCTGGCAGCTCAGATCCTGGAGCCTGCTTTGGATTCCATGTCTCCCTCTCTCTCTGCCCCTCCCCCACTCACATTCTGCATCTTCCTGTCTTTCAAAAATGAATAAATATTTAAAAAAATGTTTTAAAGCCAAAAATGGCCCCCATATATTGACCCCTGGATTGCTGATTTCTTTACAACAGGCTGGGACCCATGAACTCAAAAGTCTATGGGCACCAAAGCCAAATCTTCATATTTAAAACATACTCAGTTGTTTTAAACACACCCAAAATAAGCATATTTTAGAATGTATTTAGAACTGGCCTGCTTTGCAAATGCCAAGAAATGGCATCCAGCATCTGCTAGCCGTGGATAAAATAAACTTTGTAGCTCTTAAAGACCTCTACTCTGCTGCTGCCCTTTGGAGTTCCCTGATCAGAGGCTCCCAAAGGGGCTGCTGAGAGGCCTCACTTAGACCTGGAAGTCTCCTCTCCCATGAACGTGTCCCCCAGGAGTTCCCTTAGCTTCCCACTCTCCCAGGTGGAAGACCCTGTGTTGCCATAGCATCCAGAAGGCCCCCCCATACCATGTCGGACTCCCTTCCCCGCTTCCCACATGCAAACCTGTCAAAAGTGTTGCCCAAATAAAGCTTGCTCTGTGCTACTCCCTCCTCAGGGTCTTATCTTTTCCTTGATCAGCCCCAGATATCTCCAAATCACTATATTGGGCAAGATAGGCCTTGTCTCCACAGGGAGAAAGAAGTGAACTTCAAAAACTGAGAAAAGTCAAGTTGTTTATATGGCCATGGCTGTATCTCTTCTTTGACCGCTCTTGTTGCCCCTTAGAACGCAATGTTGTTTCTCAGATCGAAGCAAAGGGGTGCCTGGGCGGCTCAGTCGGTTAAGCGTCTGACTTTAGCTCAGGTCATGATCTTGTGGTTCGTGAGTTTGAGCCCGCGTCAGGCTCTGTGCTGACAGCTTGGAGCCTGGAGCTGCTTCAGATTCTGTGTCTCCCTCTCTCTGCCCCTTGCCTGCTCACACTCTGTCTCTATCAAAAATAAATAAACATTAAAAAAAAAAAAAAGATAGAAGCAAAGAGGGCTTGGAGATATTGGTGTCCCTAGTTGTCCCTTCCCAAAGTGTTCTGGAGGACTGGCCCCAAATGGATGAAAGCTCATCTCTTTAAATACGCTGTGCTTTAAATATGCTGTAAATATTCTACCCCCCCCCCCCCCAAAGGGAAGAGTTGTCCCAGCTGTAGGCAAAATGGCTAGGCCTTAGTCTGGCTCTGAGTTTGGTCGAGGACCCCTATGTTCTTGACCTCACTAGTGGAGTACAGGAACAGTGGAGCTACTAGGAGAGACATTTCGGCCAAGTTAGGCCCGAAAAAGGACATGGAGGGACTGAGCCTAAAGCCCAGGGGCTCAAGTATTGGAAGGTTATAAAAGCTTTACACACTTTCTTGGTAATTCCTTCTCCCTCTGTATAGTTGAGTGTATGAAAATAGCATCTCCCCTCCTGTGGTCAGTCAAGGGTCAGACTGACTGTTACTGTCTCACAGCACCACTCAGTAGCTCCGATACCCTGGACAGTTATTTAGCCTCTCTGTGCCTAAGTTGCCTTGTCTGTAAAACAGAGATAATAACAGAACCCACTCCGTAGGTTTGTTGTGAGGATTAAATGAGATCAGAGTTAATTTTTCTTCTAACAGAGGCAGTATAACATCACAACTGAGCGTACGGATACTGGAGCCAGATTGCCTGGCGGGTTTTGTTTGTTTGCTTCTAATTTTTTTAACGTGTTTTTATTTAAAAAAAAATTTTTTTTAAACGTTTATTTTTGAGACAGAGAGAGACAGAGCATGAACAGGGGAGGGGCAGAGAGAGAGGGAGACACAGAATCTGAAACAGGCTCCAGGCTCTGAGCGGTCAGCACAGAGCCCGACTCCGGGCTTGAACTCACGGACCGTGAGATCATGACCTGGGCCGAAGTCGGACGCTTAACCAACCGAGCCACCCAGGCGCCCCTTTATTTTTTTTTAGAGAGAGAGACAGACAGAGCATGAGCCGGGGCAAGGAGGGTGGGGGGTGCAGAGAGAGAGGAAGACACAGAATCTGAAGCAGGCTCCAAGCTCTGAGTGGTCTGTATAGAGCCCAGCCCAGGGCTCGAACTCATGAACCGTGAGATCATGACCTGGGCCAAAGTCCGTCACTTAATCGACTGAGCCTCCCAGGCGCCCCAACCTGGGTTTAAATTCCAGCTTTACAGCTTACTTCTAGCTGTGTGACCTTCTTTATGTCTCAATTTCCTCAACCTTACAGTGGGGATAATCTGGTGGCTCTCTGCCCCTCACCCACTCACGTTCTTTCTCTCTCAAAAATAAACAAACATTTAAAAAAATTTTTTAATGGTAATAATTATATTATCCATCTCATAAGGTTGTTTTATTTAATGTGTTAATAAATATAAAACATTTAAACATAAAACAGCATGAAGAACCTATTTTTGTTATAAAATAAATAAGGCTCTTAGAACAGCTTCTGGTAAATAGTAAGAACTCAACAGATGTTAATTCTTTTGTTATTAGTCATGTAACTGCCCAGATCCATAAACTTTATTAATTATCCTACAACAAAGAAAGGATTGGCTTCTGCTTTCTTCCTTTTATTATAAAATTTTACTTCCAACTTAAATTCTTGCTTTTTAAATTCCATCTAGGAGGAGAGCCAGCAGCATTGGACTTGAAAGAATGAGAAGTGCATTACTGGAAACTAAATGACTCAAACATTAAGTGTAAAAAAGGAGACTCACTGCTCTGTCCACCAAAAATTAACTAGCTTGCAAACACCCTCCACGTACTTCTTTGCATCCCTCTTACACCTGTGTAGGAATGTTTGCTGTGATCCTGTGTTCCCAGCAGCCTTGCTCAGATGGTACTTATAGCTATAGGAAAACCAGGTTCTTCGTGGACATGGCTGGAAAAACAAAGCTGGCCTGTATACAATTCTCTAGGTCCTTGGAAGAGAAGTTGGAGGCTGCCATAGCTTTATCTTGTTGGATTTTTCCTTCTCAAACACAGACTTTGGAAGAGGGTGGGGAATGCGGGAAAGTGGGGGGGGGGGGGCCGGGGAGGCGCAGAGAGAGAGGAAGACAGAGAATCCCTAGCAGGCTCCTCGCTGTCAGAGCAGAGCCAGATGCAGGGCTCAGCCCCAGAAACCTTGAGATCCTGACCTGAGAAGCAAAAGCCAAGACACTTAATCGACTAAGCCATCCAAGTGCCCCAGGATCTTTAAATCATTGGTACAAACTGCAAAAACAGAAAAAAGGAGCCGAGCCAGCAATCCTAAACCATGTTTTGTGGTCATGGTTGATACAGCTCCAGCACTGGGTGGCAATCAGTGGGGAACGAAACCGCCCGGTTGGGCGCACAGGTGGGGCCCGGCCAGCAGAGGGCGCGCAAGGCGCCGTCCATCCCGCCGAGCGGCCCGCCGGGCGCTGGGACTCCTTCCTGGCGCGCAGCCTGCGGCGGTCCCTGGCGCGGCGACTGCTGCGGGCGACTCTCCCGCTGGGACGCGGGCACCCGGCCACCGGGCAACCCGGCCGAAGCCGGCGCGGGTGATGGGCCGGGATTGAAGAGCCCGCCTCCGATTTCTGGGGAGACACTGAGGCATCAGGTAACCGAGCGGCAGCCTGCGCCCCGCGCTCACTCCCACTGACCCCGGGGCCCCTGGCCACCGCACGCTCCTTTCTGCGCTGCGTTCTCAGAAGAAAAGGCGGGAAGGGAGGTGCGAGGACTTGGCTGCAGCCCTGGAGGGAGACCCTAGGTGTGGGGGCCAGAACAGGAGCGATGACACTTGGACTCTGCCAAGTTTAGAGACGCCCAACTGTGCTTTTACTCCACCACGTGTCCTAGCTTTGCACTGACCTTTCCCCTCCCCGGAGAAAGAGTGGGCCTGGCACCAGCCTTTGCTCCACCTCTCCCATGGAAAGTGCCCGCCTGCCTCCCTTTCCCTTGCCCTGTGCTACTCAGTCCCTCCCTCCTGACCGGATCCTAGTGCCTAATAGCTTCTCCATTAGGAGCTTGGATGTCTGCTAGTTGCATCCCCAGCTCTTCCTCCCTTTGAAAATCTACAAAATGGTTCAGAAGACGTTGGCAGCTGTGAATTTGAGGTTCGGAGTGGGGACAGTTAAAACTGTGATTTTTGTACCTTTCTTGTGCCTTTGGCCCCCTCTAAGATTTGCCTGATTTATTAACATCTGAAGTAAAAATATGTTCTTCCTCTTCCCCTTTTTGAATCCTTTTATAAGGAGGAAATCAAGTGATGAGAAGAGGGTGGGGAATCGGTTCCCCTTATTCAAGTCCTGACTATAGATATACACTAACATATGATCATTGGGCCTGGGGTTTTTATGTATCTGTTTATTTACATATAAATCATCTGGTGACATACAGTGAACATTCTGGGGAGATTCATTTTGAGGAGATGTAAACATTTTTTTGAATCGAAATGTGTTTTGACACTTGGGTCTGCCCTGGTTGCAGTGTGTATATCGTTTGATTTGAGGGCCCTTGCCCCTGCCCTGAAATACCAAACCCTTGTCTGTCATTGTGCCCCCAAATTCTACTATCGATGTTTATTTCTTTTTGTTTACGGTCTTCAAAGTCTTTAAGAGTTCCCCCTCAGGAATCAGTTACCAAGGGAATGATGACATCATAATACGTTACTGAGGAAGAGCCTGCTCTGGGATTCAAGAAACAGGGCTCACTGCTGAAGGCCTACGTGCAGTATTTGGCTCTGGGCCCCGTTCTGCTGCTAATGGGCTATGTGACCTTGATTGTTCAATTTATTTAATCTCTTGGAATCTTGTTTACCTCACTTCAGGGAGGCTGGAACTAATAACCTTCATCTGTTGGCCAATGAGTGCTAAATATGGCGATCAATCTCCGTCCCCATCTTCCTTGACCTACTAGCAATATTGGACCAAACTGGTCATTCCCTCCTTAAAATGCTTTCTTCTTGAAGTCTCTTGAAGTTTCCCTCCTTCCTCCCTGCTTACATCTTCTCAGTCTCCTTGACTGGTCCTCTTTATCTCTAAAAGCTAGGGTTTGCAGTGTCCTAGGCCTCTTGTTGGACTTGCTTACCTTTTAAAAAAAAATTTTTTTTTTTAACATTTATTTATTTTTTCGAGAGACAGAGAGAGACAGAGCACAAGTGGGAGAGGGGCAGAGAGAGAAGGAGACACAGAATCCGAAGCAGGCTTCAGGCTCTGAGCTGTCAGCACAGAGCCCCACTTGGGGCTTGAACCCACAAACCATGAGATTGTGACCTGAACTGAAGTCAGACGCTCAGCTGACTGAGCCACCCAGGTGCCCCTGGACTTGCTTACCTTTTAAAAGGCACTCTCTTGGGGCGCCTGGGTGGCTCAGTCGGTTGGGCGGCCGACTTCAGCTCAGGTCATGATTTTGTGGTCCGTGAGTTCGAGCCCCGCGTTGGGCTCTGTGCTGACAGCTCAGAGCCTGGAGCCTGTTTCAGATTCTGTGTCTCCCTCTCTCTGACCCTCCCCCGTTCATGCTCTGTCTCTCTCCGTCTCAAAAATAAATAAACGTTTAAAATAAAATAAAATAAAATAAAAGGCACTCTCTTCCATGATATTTAACATCACTACTTTGATGGACTCCACATTTATGCCTCCAACATGGACTTGTCCTCCTCTGAAATCCATATTAAGAAACCTGGCTGCCTTCTTGGCATCTTCTGTAAAAGCCATCTCAGAAACATCATGTTTAAAGCTGAACTTACGATCTTCACCCCCAAATCTGCTGCTTGCCACCCTACCCTTCCCCCCACTCCCCCCCCCACCCCCCATCTTGTCCATCTCAATGACAACCCTGTCTTTCTCTGCTCAGGCCAAAACCCTTGCAGTCAAACTTGCCTTCCACCTTCACTCCAGTCTATACCACTGTCCCTCTAGTTGGACTATAGCAATAGCCTCCTACCTAGTCTCCCTGGTTTTTCTCTTGCCCTTCTGCGGTGTATTCTCCTCATAGCTGCAACAATAATTTTGTTTTGTTTTGTTTCATGTTTTTATTTATATTCTAGTTAGTTAACCTGTAGTGTAATATTGGTTTCAGGAGTAGAATTTCATAATTCATCACTTACATAGAACACCCAGTGCTCATCACAGCAAGTGCCCTCCTTAGTACCCATCACCCATCTAGCCCATCTCCCACCCACCTCCCTCCAGCAAACTCAGTTTGTTCCCTATCATTAAGAGTCTTTTATGGTTTGCCCCCTTCTCTCTTTTTTACCCCCACTTCCCCTATGTTCATCTGTTTTGTTTTGCAAGAGTAATGCTGCCAGTCAGTCATGTCCTGTGTTGGATGAAGACTGTCCAATGGCTTATCTCATTCAGAGTAGAATCCAAAGTGCTTAGGGTGACCTAAAAGTGTGATATATTTTCAGATTTGTTTCTGGCTTCATCTCTTTCTTGCCCCTCACTACTTGCTCACTAGCATTGCTGGCACACTGACCTCCAATATGCCAAGCACATCTCTGTCTTGGGGACGCTTATTAGTGTAGACACTTACTAGTCTTTCCATCTGAAACATTCCTTCTCCCAACAACCCATGGTTGGCTCCTTCACTTCCTTCAGGTCTCTGCTCACTCAAATATCATCTTATCAAAGACACTTACCCTTGATTACTTGATATTCAATAGCCACGTTCAACCCTATCCTTCTTGGTACCTCCTGACCCCTCACCTTACATTATCTTTCTCCACAACACTGGCCAGCTGACAAATATTTGTCGGGCTTTTCTCTCTCTCTCTCTCTCTCTCTCTCTCTCTCTCTCTCTTTTTCTTGTCCCCTCCGCAGAATGTAAACTCCAAAGAGGGAAGAGATTTGGACAGTTTTTATTGCTGCTGTGTCTCTAGTGGCTAGAACAGAGTTTGGCATATGTCTTAGTCCCTTTGGGCTGCTATAATAAAATACCACAGACTGGGTGCCTTATAAACATCAGACATTTATTTCTTACGGTTCTGGAGGCTGGAAGTCTGAGACCAGGGTGCCATTATAGGTGAGTGAAGTCCATCTTCCAGGTCACAGACTTCTGCTATGTTTTCACCTTTTGGAGCTCTGGGGGGCCTGTTTTATAAGGGCACTAATCCCATTCATAACCTGAGCACTTCCCAGAGGCCCTACCTAACACCATCACCTTGGGCGTTAGGACTCAATGTATGAATTTTGTTGGAGACACAAACATCAGCATGAAAGGTTATCAACACATCTTTATTGAATGAATGAGTCTAAAAGGTGATGCTTGTAATATTTAGATCACAGGGCTAAACTGAAGATCATATTGTGAAGCCATTTTGTATGCTTAGTAGCATACAAAGACCTTTGGCTTAGTAGTTAGAGAAACTTTGCTTCAGACCCAGGTTACATACGCACAAATAGTGTGAACTTCTCAGAAGGTCCATTTTCCATATTTGTGGAATGGACAAAGTATAATACCTCGAAAGTTTATTGTGAGTATCAGGCAAAACATAAGTGTACGTGAAACATTTGGCCGTGAGGAAGCTAAAAAAACAAGCAGTTTTGATAACTTATGTGTGAATGTGTTTTGTAAGCTATAAAGTCACACATATACATATAGCATTACTATTACTGAGGACATTGTATGCAATGTAAAAAGTTTACTGTAATAAACTTTTCAAAGTGAATGATTTCAGTGTTCATAGCATAATGCAAATTAGAAAACGAAAAATTAGTAGCATCTATACCTCATACCTGTAGGTTCTAATGGAAATGAGTATCTGACATCCTATTGTTCCTGCACAACTTTCCCTTATCCTTTGGCCCTGCCATGCCTAAGAAAGCAATATATATTCTTATCATCTCAGTCTCACAAAACCACGCAAATTCAGCCGCTTAACTCACAAGTAATCCAAGTAATGATCTGGTGAGAAGCTGTCAGATTGCCATTTCTTCAGCATGGTCCTGCCCTATGAGTACTATTTATTTTATTAAAAAAATTTTTTTAATGTTTATTTATTTTTGAGAGAGAGAGAGAGACAGAGCGCAAGTAGGGGAGGGGCAGAGAGAGAGGGAGACACAGAATCCAAGGCAGGCTCTAGACTCTGAGCTGTTGGTACAGAGCCCAATGCAGGGCTCCAATTCATGAACTGTGAGATCATGACCTGAGCCACCCAGGTGCCTCTGGTACTGTTTACTTTAGTTCAGCACACAATAATAGAACATAGAGATTTAAAGGGGGAATATGACAGGTCCTTGTGTTATAGTGTAATATAACTCAGTCTCTTGTGGTATAGTGTAGGCCAGTTTTACAAGGTGTATAGAATACAAACTGTTTGAGGACAAGAAGTAAGTGAGTTCCTACCACAAATAGAAGACAGCAGGAAGTCAGACAGATCGCATACTGATTATTTTTTTCATCTCGAGTTATTTTTTCTTTGAAAATCCAAAGGTGTAGGCCATATTCTTGAGACTGGGTTAGCTCTGAGGCCTCTAGGGCACAGAAGGTTGTGAGGTGGGGAGACCCTGAGACCCAGGCCCGGTTCTGAATTCTTGTCGTTGAGATTTAAGAATTATAGATAACAGGACTGCTAGATAAATGAAGGCAACTTCAGAGCTTCCCTGGAAGTTCCTAAGC